CCAATATTGTTGTAGGAGGTTGCAGTATCAGGGTGTTTGGGACCAAGTAAATCCACTTTTACTGCAAGGCATTTATTGTAATAATCAAGCGCCTCTTTATACTCACCCATGGCCTCCAGTACACTGCCAATATTGTTGTAGGAGGTAGCAGTATCAGTGTGTTTGTGACCAAGAAACTCCTCTTTTACTGCAAGACATTTCTTGTAATAACGAAACGCCTCTTTATACTCACCCATATCCTGGAGTACACTACCAATATTGTTGTAGGAGTTGGCAGTATCAGGGTGTTTGGGACCAAGTATCTCTGCTCTTACTGTAAGACACTTCTTGTAATATTCAAAACCCTCTTTATACTCACCCATACCCTGCAGTACACTACCAAAATTGTTGTAGATGTGGGCAATATCAGGCTGTTCGGGAATAGATATCTCCCCTTTCACTGCGAGACACTTCTTGAAATAATTAAGTGCCTCTTTATACTTACCCATGGCCTTGAGCACACTACCAATATTGTTGTAGGAGAAGGCAATATCAGGGTGTTCGTGGCCAATAATCTCCTCGTACACTGCACAACATTTCTTGTAATAATCAAGCGCCTCTTTATACTCACCCAAATCCTGCAGTGTACAGCCAATATTGTTGTAGGAGGTGGCTGTATCAGGGTGTTTGGGACCAAATATCTCCTCTCTCACTGCAAGACACTTCTTGTAATAATCAAGCGCCTCTTTATACTCACCCAAATCCTGCAATACACTGCCAATATTGTTGTAGGAGGTAGCAGTATCAGGGTGTTTGGGACCAAGTATATCTACTTTTACTGCAAGACATTTTTTGTAATAATCAATAGCCTCTTTATACTCACTCATGGCCTCCAGTACACTACCTATATTGTTGTAGGAGGTGGCAGTATCAGGGTGGTTGGGACTGAGTATATCCTCTCTCACTGCAAGACATTTTTTGTAATTATCAAGGGCCTCTTTATACTCACCCATATTTTTCAGTACACTACCAATATCACTGAAGGAGGAGGCAATATCAAGGTGTTTGGGACCAAGTATCTCCTCTCTCACTGCAAGGGATTTCTTGTAATAATCAAGTGCCTCTTTATACTCACCCATATTTTTCTTTACACTACCAATATCACTGAAAGAGGAGGCAATATCAAGGTGTTTGGGACCAAGTATCTCTTCTCTCACTGCAAGGCATTTGTTGCAATATTCAAGTGCCTCTTTATACTCACCCACGGCCAGAAGTGCAACACCAATATTGTTGTAGGAGGTTGCAGTATCAGGGTGTTTGGGACCAAGTATGTCCACTTCTACTGCAAGACATTTATTGTAATAATCAATAGCTTCTTTATACTCACCCATGACCAGCAGAACAAAACCAATATTGCTGTAAATGGTGACAGTTTCTGGGTGTTTGGGACCAAGAACCTCCTTTTTTACTAGTAGGCATTTCTTGAAATATTCAAGAGCCTCTTCATTCTTGCCCATTTTCTTAAGCAAACTACCAATATTGTTGTAGGAGGTGGCAGTAGCCGTGTGTTTGGGACCAAGTTTCTCCTCTCTCACCGCAAGACTTTTCTTGTAATAATCAAACGCATTTTTATACTCACCCATATCTTGCAGTACACAGCCAATATTGTTGTAGGAGGTGGCAGTGTAAGGGTGTTTGGGTCCAAGTTTCTCTTCTATAACTGCAAGATATTTCCTGTAATAATTAAGTGCCTCTTCATTCTCACCCATATTATGCAGTGCACCACCAATATTGTTGTATGAAGACGCGGTATCAGGGTGTTTACACCCAAGTATCTCCTCTCTCACTGCAAGACTTTTCTTGCAATATTCAAGTGCCTCTTTATACTCACCCATATCCAGCAGTACACTACCTATATTGTTGTAAGAGGAGGCTGTATCACAATGTTTGGAGCCAAGTACCTCCTCTCTCACTGCTAGACATATCTTGTAAAAATGAAGAGCTTCTTTATACTTACCCATCTTCTGTGATACACCGCCAACACAGTTGTAAAAAGAGACAGTATCAGGGTGTTTTGGACCAAATACCTCCTGTCTTACTGCAAAGCATTTCTTGAAACAATCAAGCGCCTCTTTATACTCACCCATATCCTGCAGTACACAGCCAATATTGTTGTAGGAAGAGGCAGTATCAGGGTGTTTTGGACTAAGTATCTCCTCTCTCACTGCAAGACATTTCTTGAAATAATCTAGTGCCTCTTTATACTCACCCATATTCTGTAGTACGCTACCAATATTGTTGTAGGAGGAGGCAGTATCAGGGTGTTTGGCACCAAGTTTCTCTTTTTTAACTGCAAGACATTTCTTGAAATAATCAAGCGCCTCTATATTCTCACCCAAATCCTTAAGCACATTACCAATATTGTTGTAGGAGGAGGCAGTATCAGAGTGTTTGGGACCAAGTATCTCTTGTCTTATTGCAAGACATTTCTTTTTACACTCTAAAGCCTCCTTATACTTACACATACACAGCAATACACTACCAATATTGTCGTAGGAGGAGGCAGTATCAGGGTGTTTGGGACCAAGAATATCCTCTCTCATTTCGAGACATTTATTGTAATAACTAAGTGCATTTTCATACTGACCCATATTCTGCAGTACACTACCAATATTGTTGTAGGATGAGGCGATATCAGGGTGTTTGGGACCAAGTATATTCTCTCTCACTGCCATGCCTTGCTTGTAATAATCAAGTGCCACTTTATACTCACCCATATCCTGCAATATACTGCCAATATTGTTGTAGGAGGTGGCAGTATAAGGGTGTTTTGGACCAACTGTCCCCTCTCTCACTGCAAGACATTTGATGTAAGAATCAAGCGCCTCTTTATAGTCACCCATGGCCTCCAGTACACTGCCAATATTGTTGTAGGAGGTGGCAGTATCAGGGTGTTTGGGACCAAGTATCTCCTCTCTCACTGCTAGACATTTCTTTTTATAATCAAGCGCCTCTTTATACTCACCCATATTCTGCAATACACTGCCAATATTGTTGTAGGAGGTGGCAGTATCAGGGTGTTTGGGACCAAAGATATCCTCTTTAACTGCAAGACATTTATTGTAATAATCAAGCGCCTCTTTATACTCACCCATATCCTGCAGTACACTGCCAATATTGTTGTAGGAGGTGGCAGTATCAGGGTGTTTGGGACCAAGTATTTCCTCTCTAATTGCAAGACATTTTTTGTAATAATCAAGCGCCACTTTATGATCACCTTTGGCCTTGAGCACGCTACCAACATTGTTGTAAGAGGAGGCAGTATCAGGGTGTTTTGGGCCTAGCAGTACCTCCCTTTCATGTGCCACTAATTTGCTAATTCTTAAAGCATCCTCACAGAGATAAATTGTAGAGAACCGTTGCGCAATTAATGCTAAGTTGTCTAAAATTTGTATTTTGTTAGATGTATCTTGGGTTTCTAACTGTTTAATTAGTAAATCAGCAGTGCGTTTTATATGTGGTAACATCACCGATAAATGATTTGCATCTGAAGCAGCAACAAATTTGATTCCAATCCCTTTGAGAGCTTTCATGTAGAAACTGCAGTAGTCATATTGGATTTTTAAACAATCAATTCCATTATTTGGGGCATTGACTTCTGCATATTCTTTGAGTAACGGATGGATATCATAGATGTCATTATCTGCAATGATGAGCGATTTGTTGACAAGGACGTCTAGGATATGTTCACAATCATTTTGATCTAACCCTAAAATAACAGAGACTGCTTCGAGATTAAATGCAGCGGGAAATATATGCAGTGCAAAGAACACTTCTTTCTCCTCAGGTTCTAATGTTGAAGTAGAAATATCAAAGCAATCTGTTATTTCCTTTGGCATGCTAGGAATGGAAAGAGTAGGGAGGATCTTTTGAGTTTTCATTTTTTCTAGGACTGCTTTTGTTGGTTTAATATCAAGTAATGCAGCTAGCACTTTTAAAGCAAGAGGGTTATGGCCACACAATTTTGCCATTTCATCTAATGCCGTTAACTCGCTGTCTGTGGGACTGGTTGATTTTCTTTCCCACATGATATCACGTGATGAGGTTTTATCAACTGGTGGAATCTCTAACACAACTATGTCATGTGTTGTTAAATGAAACTTTTCACGACTGGTGCACAGCAAAGTTATATGGTTTGTGGAATTCATAACATCAATCAAAAATTCGCTGAATTCCTGTCCACTGGAACTCATAACAGAATCATTATTATCGAGGATAAGTAGTGTATCTGCAGTCAAACTAGACAAAGTCTGTTTGAATATGTTTTGATAATCAGAATATAAATCTTTCAAAGGGCGTGTTGGATGATAGTGTTGGACAAGTGATAACTTGACAGAGTTAATGTCTGTAACTTGTCTCATATCAATGTACAGCACATTTTGCATGTTTTTCCCGACCTTAACTGCTAAGCTAGTCTTACCAATACCCCCCATCCCGGTCAGGAGAATGAGTGGAACTTTATCTTTGACAGATTGCTGTATTCTGGTAACGATGTCATCACGTCCCTTCAGATCTGTGTTTATTCTTGGTAACGCAGTGGATAGCAACTGACAAGGAGTTTCTGAAAAGAATGCTGAACATTTTATCGCATTTTAACCTTGGGGCAACCATATTTAAAACTATTATATCTGAAAATATACAGCTTGGTTGTCCGTGACATGTTAATATTAGAGTACTAGTGTTATTAGAATACAGAATTAGTATCACTACAAATGTTTAGGTCTGTGCTTTTATAAACGTGAATTAATGTTTTGATCGATTTATCTTTGTCTGTACGTGTACTTGTATTCGTATTTTTTATCCGTTTTTGGTTGTATGGATGTGAAATATTAAATATCAGTGCAGAAAATCACCTGAAGCATCCAGTGGCAGATACCGCAACATTTCGTAATCATCACTAGTAAACAATGTCGACAGAGACAGCAGGATAGCTTTCAGACCGGGGAACTGGGTCTGGAAGTGTGCGTCTGAGAGACCCTGTGTTCCATGAGCGTTCTTATTACGGTACTCCTTCACCCTGGCGATGTTGGCCTCTGTCGATGTGTCCGTGGCTGGAGGATTGTCCCAACTTGCGTGAGGATTCAGATTTGTGATATTTCGTAATAAAACTACGGACAGGGTAATATCTAACTTCTGCAATGTCACAAGAGGGGCAGGGCTTGCAGGGGGATAGAGAATTTTCATTTGACTGGAATTCAAAATTTTTCTTCTTTGAAGTCTGATTAAGGTATGTCTCACTGTTTGGTCATTTAGTACACCAGATATGTCGCCATTACTTGATGGTCCGTACAGACCCGGGTATCGTAACTGTAACTGGTTACTGAGAACATCTCGAAGTACAATGTTTGCACGATCCAGTAACAATTGCATGCGGAAATCGTTTTCTTTCTCTTTTCGTGGAATTGCCCAACTGGTCATTTTAGCAATCTGCAAAAATCACAAAATAGTTAACAAGGTTCATCAGGACATTTTAATGTTCTCAAATTTATTTGTTAAGGTAATATAAAATCAAATAGGTCATCATGTATTATTCACACATTATAAGTGTTCAGTCTAACTGTAAGTGGTAAAAATTGTAGTATTATTCATTAGTGCTGTATGTGTCTGGTGTCCTTTCTCAATCTGTTCGGGATGCAAAGGTTTACGATATTTTGTATCATTGTTACGGTACAATGTATAATATCTGGCGGTGTAATAGCTGCTTATATCTTTTAGTTTTTCTTTCGCTGCCTTCTATAATTCGAACAGTTTCAGTCAATTAGGATAAAACTAATTGTGAAATGTCAATTAGGACAAAATAACTGTAAAATGCGTTTGATTGTAAACGAAAGCTCTAGCAATGAAACGCTTTCTTTCATTCTATTGAATAGAGATCGACCCAGCTATGTCCTCTGCGAGGAAAATGCTTGGCAATCAAGTAAGCCCTAGTGACTCAACACCACACTGTCTATTAAGGAGGGAATTTAGGTTGGAGATTTTCTCTTAAAATAAAGGTCTAAGCTTTTTTATTCCTGTCATTTAATTCTAATTATGCTTAACATCTAATTATGCTTGAAACACAGAACCAACTTCATCGTGTTACGTAATATTGGGATTTTGGGGACAAAAAATATTTTAAACACCTGATTTTCTCAGGCACCTGGACAGCTATAAACATGCTGTTAATGGTATTATAACACTTGAACGAAGTACTACAGAAGGGAGTCAGGGATTTTTATTAAGAGACTTATTGTTGATTGTATGTATAAAAACGTGAAATTACATCAAAATATTTATGGTTTTTCACTTTCAAAGTCAGTAAATTGAAAAAGAGAGGATCAATCAAAAAATCTTAAAGAGTACTTGTAGTGCATACATTTCTTAAAACGAGCAAAAACCATTTCAGGGAGGTTAATTGTCCAAAATAGCAAATTATATTGTTGACAGCTTTACCTGTTATCTTACTGACGATCGCAAAAATGGGTACTCTATTGCAAGTTGAAATTAACTTGTTTGCATGCATTTGAGTGTCAGAAAATCTTATTTTTTGTATCAATCTCACCTCCTGTTGATAAATTCAAGGGGTTACCGCTAGCACTGCCAGAAAGATTGACAGGCAATCAAGTAAGCCCTAATGGCTCAACCAATCAGTGGCCACGTCAATTGACCTCGGTGCAAGTGTTATATTAGGGATGCGATCTAGGATGTGCACACAATGGCATCATCGCAGGCGGTCTTGTCTACATTCGCCGAGCGAAAAATGGTTCGGAAACACGATCGTGTTACAGGACGCCGATCGGACCATCAACAACAAGAAATAGAAGCAACAAGGCAGGGCTTGGAAGAGGAAATGTGTAAAGTTGTGCTTGTTAGAAATTGGGATAATTGTTGAAGAAAAAACACCATGTCTGCCTTGTAAGTGCATACATGCATCCAGAACTGTACATCGCGGTATACCAGCATTTAGGTTGAAAATGCTAGGGTTTATTCTCCAGCAAAAATCTCATAGCCGAAATGAATAATTCTGAAAAATTCAAAATACTATAAATACTACATCTCTTAACATTACGTTATTTCAACTTACTATAATTTGATAAACTTGCGCTTCGATGCTAGACCAGATGGCCCAAGTTGAAGTTGCATAGATCCATAAAATCTGACGACTGTATAGAGCTGCTGTCGAAGATTGATCGATAGTTTGACGGTTGCTGTCACAGGTAGCAAGCAGCGTAATGTTTCTCTTTTTTTTCGTATCTCAAAATGTTAAGGAAAAGATCGAAAGTACATCTATAGCAACAAGCAATTCAAGGGAAAACTCATGCGAGGCAATTTAACTGTGACCTTGAAATTGACCTTTGACTTACTTTTCAACATGAACTGATCTTTGCAAATTTTCATTCCGTTTTATCTCCAAAACTTACAGAGATTGGTGCATAGTTACTTTTGAACTTATATAGGAAATAATATACTGGCAATCTAAATGTGACCTTTAAATTGACCTTTGACCTACTTTTCATCATGAATTGAACTTTGCAACTTTTTCAGTGCTTATACTTTCAAAACTGGCAAAGATATGCACATAATTACTATTAAATTTGAATAGGAAGTCATATATTGGCTATCTAACCGTGACCTTGAAATTGACCTTTACCTACTTTTTATGAATGGTAAAAAGATTTTGTCTTACAATTTTAATCAAAATCGCTAGGGCAGAAATATGAAATATGAAATATGAGAGAGCGTCCTTAAAGGGATAATAACTCTTCGCTTTGGACAAAAAATGAATTTTCCTGGAGTAAACAACACTTTTCCCATACTAACCAATGGTTAATGAATCCATTTTTACATTCAAAGTTAGTACCTGTTTTTTATAAAAAGTTTGTTTTTTGTTTTAATCTATTAAGATATTATAACAGAGAATAGCCATCAGTGGAGGTCACGT